TTGGCGCCGACACAGGGGAGGTCAGAGGGCTCTGAAGCGACGTGATAGGATGGTCATATGAGCATCAGAAGAACCAGAGAAGTTGCCTTTACCCAAGCTAACTAAGCATTCCTATCGGGCTAATGTTTATTGAAGTGCTGCAAATCTGTCTTAGGCTCACGGTGCTATCCACTCAGCGGCACGGTGGCTGAGTGGATAGCACTCTCGCCTCTCAGCAAGAAGGTCCTGGGTTCGAATCCCGGTCGGACCAGGGCCTTTCTGGGTGGAGTTTGCATGTTCTCCCCGTGTCTGCATAGGTTTCCTCCGGGTACTCCGGTTTCCCCTACCACTAAAAATATGTCCAATAGTTCTAGCATGCCGTACCGTCTGCACCGGCGACCCCGCTCCCATCTCTGTGTGGAGTGAGAGACAAATGCCCAAAATTAACAATTGTAAACCGCTTTGAGACTCAGATCTGCAGTGAAAAGGCGGTATATAAATAAAGATTACTTACTTACTATTACTTACTTACTACTACTCACGGTGCAGTTGGACACAAACACAGAAGATACTCTCAAGATTAGGACAATCGTCTCGTCTACACCATTTCAAGACAAGAATATTAGTAAAAGATAAAAGCCACAATATGCAACAAACAACAAAGCACATTGCACCATTGCACACGCTCGATTACAGAAACAGGAGAGAGCTAAGGAGTATTTCACCTGCCAAACGAGATACATACATGTTTAGTCAAACTCCTATCGGCACGTAACAGCAGTACTCAAATTTCCCCACTGATTTATGCACATTTATAGTCATTGATCATCTCGCTCCCTATGGACCAATTGCTCCTATTGCAATTCCAGTGTTCGAATTGTTAGATTCTCTGATCTGTGGTTGCAGAATCAAGTTTGCTACGTCCTTCAAGAATACGACTATTGTGATTTAGAGCTGTATAAAATTATACAGAATTTATTTTAATCAAACCAATTCTCCAATTTAGTCAGATAACTCATCAGCATCACTTCATGTCTGCATTTAAACAGAGCCTCTCAGTTCTTGCATTTTGCTGCTATTCGTGCTGTAACCTAACTTGACTCCCGCTATGCTCGAGGGCAATGCAAACTCCTTCAAGATAGCAATAAATAATGAACTAATCAGGATTGCCGGTGTAACGGCGAACATTAAGTCTGTTAATTGTTTAAATACAGACAAATTAAGACACGGATGTCACTTTTAATGCAATTGGAGGCTGTTGTGGGTTTTAAGAGTAAAATTTTTGTTTCAAGTTTGGTTAAAGTATTTAACTGCTCCTGTCAAATTACACTACGCAGCAGTATGTCATTCAAGATAACGGACAAATGGTTTACATACAACATAACATACAATTAAACATTTTTTACCAGGCCCCGCCTTCTGAAATACATCTCCTATTGAGAAATCCCAGATCCTTGTGTGGAGCTCAGCAAACTACTAGATTAAAACGAACAAACAAAGATCCCACATTTAAGCGCATACTGTTTAATGCCACAGGTCCCTTTAAGCATACTGTTGATATCTTTTAAACATATATTTAGGCCGAGCCAATACGAAGTATTGGGGAGGCCTATTGTTATTCACCGGTTTCATATTATTATTTTTTTTCCGCATCTTCGATTCGATTTTTGACCCTGAAGACATGCACAAAAGTCTGCACATGGGGGGTCTAAAACGACCGGTCCGGTGAAAAATTTGATAAAACGGACGTTTCCAGATTGTCCGACAAAAGGCGAATCAATAGCGCCCCCTTGAAAATTCAAAATTTGCCATTTCTATTGGAGGCAGGATTGCATATTTTGGAGTAGGTGCACAAAATTTGGATGAGTGATAGATCTCTATGAGACGAGCATAAAAGCCGGTCTAAGCACATGTCTGGGACCAACAGGAAGTCGGCCATGATGGGCTGAAGTTTCGCCACTAATTTGACTTTTCATTTATAAATTCGAACTAGTCCCTGGTTTTTCATCACACACAGTTCTACCACGTCATTTCCTAATCTGGACGGATCGAAGTTATATAATCATCAAAAAAAAGTTAGAAAATCTTCACCGTTTTCGTCCCTCGCCATGGCGAATAAGGCCTTCGTTTTGGCCATTTTCGCTGAGCCCTGAGGGCCACAGACTCAGACTTACAGAGCTGAGACTCACATCAGTAATATTAGGTTATGGCCTGAACGCAATGACACTAAAATCATTCACCCAATATGAGCTCTTTAGCGCCACCTGTCGGAAAGTAATAGGGCACTAGTGCTCGGATCGGCCCGAAAATCGCTGAGTGTATTCTCTGGACCGAGACGAGCAACACATTACATTACGCAAAAGTTGTGAGTCCTACACCTGACCACTGGGGGCGCCGGAAAGTGAATGACTGAGCTTTTTGGGGCAAAATGTTTGTCCGATGAGGCTAAAAATGAATTCAGTAATACAGAGTATGACCCTGAACACAACGATATACAACACACAACTGTGAGTGCAACAGCGCCACCTACAGGCAGTTCAAGGTGTCGCATTTTTGGCTTCGTACCAGTCCCTGGATTTTCATCGCACAGACTTCTACCATGTAATTTCTCCATCTGGACGGATTGAAGTTATGCAATCATCGCATAAAAAATAGAATTTTGTTATCGTTTTCATGCGAGGTAGTGGGGAATTTCTCCATGTTTGATGCTCTCCTGACCACAGGCTCAGACCTACAGAGCTGAAACTCACATCACTAACAGTTGGTAATGACCTGAGAGTAATGGTGTGAAAACACACACCTAATATGACTCTACAGCGCCACCTATGGAAGGCTTTTGACCTAAACTTTTCCGATCTTCACCAAAGTTGCAAAATCAAATCTTTACATCTGTACGAGCAAAATACTACTCTACGGAGAGGGTGCATGTCCCGGAGGTGACCACTAGGGACGCACTTTATCATATAAATGAGCTTTTATATTAGTAATCCTGGTCAGATCGGACTGCCAATTCGTCTGCGTGACGCTTGTGGGACTGGCGCCCAGGAGGCGGTCGCAAGAGGGGCGAGGCCTTTCATCGCCGCTTGCGGCTTTAATTTAAATTGACCTTTTGCCTCGCACACAATCGTAAAAAGTATCAAATGACAGCCTTGTATTTCCTTTTTTTACATTTCTGCTGAATAGGTTGCCACGGCAATCATTATGCCTGTGCCCTATTTAGACTAATGCTGTCAGGGACTAATTGGCATTGACGGTTTGCCCCAGTGGCATTTGCAATGTTGAACACAGATTGCTACAAGGTTTCTGCTGTGATTATTCCATTATAATGAACATTTGAAATAAAAAATTTTCCTCATGTCTAGTTCAATGATTGGCTGTAGAGCACAACATTGGCTGCATTGAACTAACAGGGCCTGCCTATAGAAGAAGTGGTGTTAGGAGGAGGAGAAGGGCTGTTTTGTTCCTGCTTCTTCATTATGCTAAAGTTTAATATGTTAGACTTGCTTCTTTATTAGGCAAAAGCTAGAGATTTTACGCTTGCTTCTTTATTTACGCTAAAATGAGAGATGTTATTTTATTTTAGCATAGAGGGATTGTGTTCTCTTGTATTGTGTGCACCTCATTCCTACCATTTTAAAACTGGTAATGCAACACTGAAAATTCACCCTAATTTCTTAATCTTAATCATGTCCCACCATAGTCATTTTTACCTGCATAGTTGAATCCTTCTATAAATCCATAATTGATGTGTTTATGACGGCGTTTTGGGCGTTGAAGAGTGAGACACTTTCTGCTTGGTCAGCACACTCTCACTGACCAGTCAATAATCACTTAGCAACTTTCCATTCACACTGTAACATTACGCTCTTCTGTGCTTCCTGTAGACTTCTTTTACTGGAAACTTATAAGACTTCTATACAGGATTTAGCTGCAGGGTTGTGGTGAAAATATCCACTTGGGTTGAACTTGACAAACTTTGAGATAGTGATTAGATTTGTGATTTATGTTTGAAAAGTAAGGTGTAGTGTAAGGCTGTAATGAATGTAAGGACTGTAATGATTCTTGTCCGGAAAGATCAGTGCACATGGGATTTTTATACAGTTGAACAAAACAACGCTCAAGTTTGAGGCGACTGTGGCTCAGTTGGTAGAGCATTGACCTTTGAGCCCGAAGGTTGTGGGTTCGATAAACCAGGGCCCAACGGAGTACCTACCATGGAGGAGGGACTCCGTTGGGCCCCGTAAAAGTTTCTGTAAATGGCCCTGTGGGGGAAGTTCCTGCAGTGGAGACACGCACCAACGGGGCTGGCCCTGGAAAATTACCTTGAAGTTCCTACGGTGGAAACGCGGCTTATGTGATAACAATCCGTTTGGTTCTATCACTAGTTTTGTTGGTCTCTATGTTGACATGCTTTCTACTGAGATGAATGCAACATGGTTCTCCAGGTTTACAGCTAAGGAACATGTTTAAAGTGGTTCTCACCCCCTCTCCTCTGAGCTTACGTTACTCACATTTCCTGTTCAAATCTTCCTCTAAATGGGCGTAGCCTGGAGGACTAAAGGGGGCGTGAACGAGACTGGGCCGTTTACATTGCTCTGGGCGGGGGGCTGCTGACGTCAGGTCCAACTTGCAGACGTCAGGTCCAACTTCTGTGCCAGTGTTGGCGCCAGATTCAAAATTCAAATGTAGTAATACAGGTCGCCAGCAGATGGCGCCTCACAGACGGTTTTAGGCAGAAAGTCTAACTTTCAGCTAATTTGCACCAAAGTGACAAGATTATGACCAGGATATGTAGACAACACTATTGGACACTCATTTATACCGTTTATCAGCAAAAAAAAGTGGATTTGAGGGTGAGTTGTCCTTTAAGAGACGTAACATAAATGACTGTGTGTACATTCATAAAATCTTATCTAACAAACCATTTCCCTGTCGTCTCTGCAGGTAGCTCTATGGCTCCTTCCACGGCAGCGCTCTGAGTCGCCCCCTCTCCCTCTCCTCCTCCTCCTCCCGTGCAGACCATGCCCTCCACGGCTCACCTACTGGGGCTGTCCGGCCTGGGCATGTCGGACCTGGGCCTGTCGGGGCTGGGGCTGAAGTGTGAGCATGAGATTGAGCGGAGGTACGAGATTGTGCCCTCCGTGGTCTGCTCCATGTGCTGCCTCTTCGGGATCATCTACTGCTTCTTCGGTGAGGAACTTCTTAATTATATGTACATCTATTCATGCTTACGATTAGCTGAATTCTGGTGATTATTCCAGTTTTTGATGCTGTTTAGTAGTTGCATAGATTTATTTAACTGGTTTGAAGACCTTTATCTTTAGACCCTACTTTGCCAATACATTTTGTTCAAATCTTGCTTGAAATAAGAAATTAACTGTTGAATTTAATGTTGAAACATATTGAAAGCAGTAAAATAACACAGCATTAACATCTTCATCAAGTAAAAACTTGAAGGGGCTGTCATATTTTTATTCTAAATTACATTTGGGTCGACGTTTACTAACCATATTTTAACTTTTCTGAACAAAAGTTGAGTTATTCGTACAGTAATATTGTTCATTGTTTATGATTTTCAAGCATATAATCCAGAGAGCAGAACAAGGCTCATTTGGGTTGCTATTTTGTTAATAGCACCATACTCATTTGAATTAGATAGACACACAAAAATTAGTAATTATAACTAAAATCAGTAATGAGTGCTTATGAGCTACATGTGTCAGAGGCAGGAAGATTCTGTCAATGAAATTAGGATTGTAATCTATGTAATATATTGACTTAATTAGACCTCTAATTGTGCATTTTTAATTTGGGTCCTTTTGAATCACAGAAAGGTATTGAAATCAATAGAATTACAAACATATGTCCCATGACTTTAATCTGTAGTAGTGATGATTCAGGAGTGTCAAAGTTGTTTTAATTGATGAAAGAAAATGAGATTCTGGCACATGTGTTCTGTTGCCCAGCGGCACTTTCCACTGATAGAGTTAGTGTGGAGTGAAGTGGTGGGATGTGACAGATGCAAATAGAACAGCAGTAAATGAAAGAAATTATCCAAACTCTTTTGCTACCAATTCAACGCACAATTCCATCTGTTCAAATTATATAATAAGGATTTAGGGTTGTTTAAGAGAAAGCATATGAAGTACTTACAGTCACAAGTCATTCTGTTGAATGCAGCGCCTTCTACTATTTTTAGTTAATTTCACGTATCTTTACACTAATACAGGTTTGAAAAGGGGTTGGATAAAGCTGAAAACACCAGATAGCGTGGGGGAGAAGGTGCACGTTAATTTTAGAGAGGCAATTGTACAGTTATGCTAATTCTGTGGCGCGATGGACCGAAGAGGAGGTGCATTCATAAATAGGGGAAAGAACTGAGTCAGGGAAAGCCGCAAATATCTTGAGTCACTTCCCCCTCACCACAACCTCAGGCTCAGCTCTCTCCTGCATTGCACTCCTCCTAAGAAAATAAATCAAATCTAAAATGAAATATTAAGAATTGTTTTATTTATTTTCCCCAAATGGTTCAGCCCCATGTATAGTAATTGGTTGAAAAAGGGAATTGAAGAAGTGCTTGTCTGATTGCCAGCTGCAGAATCAATTTTTTGCGATCTCTCATCTGGAAATCGATTGTTTTGTTCATGTCCACGAAGAGTAGAAATACAAGAGTGGTATTTTTGAAGACTTTATGATGTGGAGCTGGGCCTACTGTGGGTTTAAACAAGCATAGAGTGAAATCCTCTGGGAGCTGAGGCCACAGAGCTGTGAAGAACACAGTGAGGAGAAGATTGTTTTTCAGACACGACCATGTGTTCAGCTATACCACCACACTGCCACACACAAACATACCCACACACACACACACACACACACACACACACACATACACACACACAGACAAGAAATACTATCTGATTAGTAGAATCAAATGAGTTAAAATCTATAGTGATTTATCTCAAGCTATATATAGATTATTGCATAGAATGATTTGCTCCAGGCGCTCCAGTTTCCCCTGCCACTAAAAACATGTATAATAGTTAAGGGTGTTCGAATGTGTACTTGTATAAGGACAATTGTGGGACATGGGATATTTACCATGGCTACAAACTGCAGAGGTTTATTGCATATTGCACTGCCCCAACCAAATATATATATATATATTTATTTTTAAAGTAAAACTATGAAGAACCCTGTATTTACTGCATGAGTCCAACATTAGACATCCGACATTTTTGAGACAGACACTCATCTGCCACTTATGTATTTGAGAACCACAACACTGACGACTTTAATCCAAGCACAATCTCTTTACTTGGATTATTGGACACATATCTTCAGAAGAGTGGGAGCTTTCTAGTAGTTGTTTTTGTTTGAAAAATATAATTGATTTTGGGTTTGGTTTTTCCATATTTATTTTGTTATTTTAGCTAGAGTTGATTTTTTTTTTTTTTTTGGTAATTTATGATTTTTGGGTTTGAGTTTAGAGGCACCTGGAGATAAGTGTGAGCAGTACACGGTGAGCCTTCATGCACCGTGTACTGTTCACACTTATCTATGATCTATGTTTTGTTTTTTTACCAGTTTTATTGAAATGCAGAGTAATAATGTGAAAACCAAATGTTGTTTATAGATAGATAGATAGATACAGTGAGATAGATACTTTAGTGATCCCCGTAGAAATTCAGGTGTCCAGTAGCAGCAGAACTACATCCATGATACAAACAAAATACATCAATAATTCTAAAAGAAGCTAACAATAGAAATAAAATGCGACATCACTTTAGCTCACAGCAGCAAAGATGTTTATGTATGTATAACAAAAATATGATTGAAATATGATTATGATTATGTTTATTATTTTTTTATTTGACATTACAGCTCACACATTTTTACACAACATCTGAAGGCACCTCCAAAGATCAATATCAAAGAGCTAGTTCTGGCAGATGAGTGTGCCTGTTGGATTGTGGCAAGAGTGAGGGAAAGACATATTGAGTTTGGTTGTGTCTTTACTTTTGTTGAAAGAGCCAGTTCACGTACAGCCCAGAGCTCATGACCATATGGGGAGTGAGCCACAGGCGGAACAGCCCACACACTCTGCTCCCAGATTGCAACAGCCGCTATAAGGACCTCAACTGTTGTTAATCTGCACTTCTCTGAGCTATACTGCGTGCAAGAAATGTCCCGTGTGGATCAATAATGTTTGTCGAAGTCTAAGAAGAGACGGACGAAGGATTTGTAAGAGAGGCACAAGGAGTATCAATCAATCCATCAATCAGCTTTTATTTGTACAGCGCCTCTCCTATACACAAGGCAACACAAAGCGCCTCACAACCCGCATCATATCAAGCAAATTATTAACATTAAAATCTACAATAAAATCAATATTAAAAACAGAATAAAATCACAAGTCATTAAAAGCCTTAAAGCATTAAAATCACACACAGGATTGAGATAAAAAATAGCCACAATGCATTAAAAAGAATAAATATAAAGTCCTTCAGTTGTAGAGATGAAATCCGTCTGTTGTATGCACAGTAGAGTAGAGCAATAAAAGTCAGAGGAAAAGTGATGGACAGAGAGCGGGGGAAATGGGGGGAACGGGCTTTGTCTGTCAGGAGGAGCAGGCATGGCTGGAGGTGGCGGCTCCCTGTTGCTGGACTCACATGGGAAACGGCTGATTACACACGGATAACAAAGTGAAGGCTGCTCCACAGAGGCTGCAGACCGAGCGGCTTTACTCTCATTATCAGCGCAGATGTCAGGTTGTTGTTATAGTTTCGGAGTTTGCGATATGTGTGTGTTTCTGAAAGCCCTGTTCAGCGGCGCATGAGCAAAAGCAGGTTGTAGTTAGTTTGTAATAATAATAATAATAATAATAATAATGCATCCTTATTTATATGGCACTTATACAAAATATTGTTTACAAAGCACTGCACAATCAGCATAAACCATAAAAACAGCCAATAAAACATAATCATAATCATAATAGTTTAAATCCAGCAGTTGTAGGCTGTTTGATAAAAGTGGGTTTTAAGAAGTGATGTAAAAGAGGATACTGTTCAGGCACTGGATTGAAAGCTTTATCCTGTCATACCTCATAAGCTAAGCAGGGAAGCGCCTGGTTAGTACTGTGAGGGGAGAACTCTGGGAACACCAGGTGCCACATTAGGGCAGGTAAAGTGTGAAATTGTTGTTGTGTCCGTAGGCAAAACCCTTTGCCCACATTGTTTAGTATGAGTCTGGTTTGTGTATGAATGATTGGTGGTCAGAGGAGCTGGTGGCACATTGCTTTTATCATCCAAAACGTATTCCATGATGAGATTCTCAACATGATTACAAAATAAGCAAAAAATATATGTACGTGTCTAAATGTAGAACTGCTTTAAAAATCACTGTGTATTTCAGTGTGAGGAGTTACTCTGTGGAACAACCACACATACTGTATTTGAAACAGAGGGAAAGAGAGTGATACCCCAGTCTGCACAGAGCAAGTGATGGGAGAGAGGTGTAGGGTCAGAGAGGGTTTTGGCCTGCGTCTTTTCTGATGGAGTGTGCGTGTGTTGTATTGTTTGAGTAGGAAGTTTTAGAACCCAATAAGAGTGCTTTGTCCAACCCCTTTTAAAATAGTGTACTATGGTTACTGTTTTTTCCATCCTGTTTTTTTCTCTTCTCTATATAAGTTAGAAAAATGTAACTACCACAACTAATTCTGAAAGTCAACATGATAAATAATCCTGCTCCAGTGTTTCCTGCTGACCTCAGACACCACGCTTACCTCTCTCCTCTGTCTGCGTGTGTCCACTCTCTCATCTCGGCCCTCTCCCCTCTCGTCTCCGCAGGGTACCGCTGCTTCAAAGCGGTTCTGTTCTTGACCGGGCTCATGTTTGGCTCCGTGGTCATCTTCATGCTGTGCTATAAGGAGCGTGTGATGGACACCCAGCTGAGCGTGGAGGCCTCCGTCGGAATCGGCCTGGGGATCGGCACCCTCTGCGGCCTGGTCACCATGCTGGTCCGCTCCGTGGGGCTGTTCATGGTGGGACTGCTGCTGGGACTGCTGCTCGGGGTGGCCTCGCTGGTGGTGAGCTCTCAAACGTTTTATGCAGAAGGTTTTTATCTATTGGAGTGTATGTTTTAAAGCACACTGGGTTGAAGAGCTTTTCCGACTATAATATAGCAAGTCCAAACAAAGATGCAACAAATTAGAATATTGTTGAAAAGTTTGTATAAATGTGTAATTCAATTTACAATCTGAAACTTTTACTTGGGGTTTTTATGCTGTGTTCTAATCGAGAAAGAGAGATTAGAGGTTGTACAGGCTAAACAGGTTTGTACAGGTATAGGAACACACAATATGGATTAAAAGTATGAATATTTATTATTTTTCCAGCTTGAGAACTTTGTGAATACCAAGAATAGTATGAATAACTATCACGATAACCATTCCTTTTCAAGACTTTTGGTTCCAATAGTCTCTGGTACCAGTCAAATCTTAACACTTTTTGTTCTAGTTTTCTACCAATATTTGTTAAAAAGTTGTATCAACATTTGAAAGATTACAAAATAGAAAATACAAATTAATAAAGGCTAATTTAACAACTTGTTTAGCGGTTTGTTTAGTGCCAGAGAAGCTGAATCTGAAATAGTTTGTATCATTTTAAAAGTCCTGTATTCGATTAACATGAGGTGGGGTGCCACAAGGCTCTATTTTAGGCCCTCTCGTGTTTAGCCTGTATTTACAAACCCTTGCTTGAGTCTTCCCTGTGTTTTCTTTATCTTGACTGTTTGACGCTGTCTCTCCTCAGGTGATGGAGGAGTTCTACCACCCCCGGACTGTGTGGGTGCCCATAGGAGTTCTGCTGGGCTCAGGCACTCTGTTTGCGGTGCTGACGCTCCAGTGGCAGCGCTGCTTTGTCACTCTCTCCACCGCCACGTTTGGATCGGCCATTATCACCGTCACCGTGGACTACTTTATCGAGCTCTTCGCCCTCGTGCACTACATTTACGAACGCCTCCGGGTACGACAGAAAGTCTAAAGTGGGCCTTCAACATTCACTCAAACAAAACAAAAACAAAAAACTTAATTTTATTATAAGATAAACTGTATTGATCTTGCAATTGAGAACCAGATATTCATTTTGTGGAAGTATGATGAATAACTTGCAACTTTTGTTTAGAAATGTTTTGAACAAATCATCAAATGACATTGATTAACCGTAACACCTTTAATGCCAGTTTCAAGGGATTCCCAGGGATTCATGTGTCATTACTTGCTGCCATGTTTGTTGTTGATTTTTTGATTGGGTACTCAATCACGGTTACTTCAAAGATTTTTTTTATCTGCAAATTCTTAGTCTAATCCAGCCTACAGGTTAATGCGATGATAAAACTCAATTAAACACAACCATTTATTAGACTTGCACAAAGCTCACATATTGTACCGCATGCTTACTTACTATATCTAATATTTGCCAAAAACAAGCTTTTGGATTACTTTAGTTTGGTTTATTATATTCGTAATTTACCTCAATAACAGGACACATCATTGGAATGAGATCACGTCAAATGCACGTCAGGCTCTGTTACCTGGGGGACTATTTGTGTTTTTTGGATTTAAAAGTGTTGAAATGTGTGTTATTTAACATTTTGATACCAATATTATCACCTTTAATGCAAATGAATATCGGCTCTACGTATTGGTCATTGGTCTCCTTGACTGCTATTATTCGGATTGGTATTGACCCTAAAAAAAAAATCATTCTGGCTGGCTGGATAAATGTGGCCAAGTTATTTCCCAAACAATAGTTTACACTGAACTAACGTCATGTGATGTACCTGTGCTGCAGGTGTCTCCAAAGAAGCCGCAGTGCTGGTTCACGTGGGTGATCCTGGGGGTGTGGCCTGTGCTGGCGCTCCTGGGGGTGCTCATCCAGTGGAAGGTGACGGGAGAGGGCTTCTCCCACACAGAGGGTGAGTTTCCAACTGACCCCTGTCAAGTTAGTCAGTGAAGAATATAGAGACTCTATTAGGGCTGTACAATTTTATCACGATTTATGGAAACTTTATTCTTTGCACATTCATATTGACAGAGATTTATCTTCGTTGGTTTATAGAGGAGTTTAAACTTTGCACTTTCAGATATTCACATTTCAAACTTCACATGTTGGAGTTTGTATTTGTTTTCCTCGGTTACCTTATTTTAAACAATTAAAATCTTGTGATCAGTGTGAGCTGTTTGAACACGAAATCAAAGAACCGTTTTCTACTTATAAACGGTTTTTGATCAACAATTTAATGAAAGACTGTATACTGAATGTATTACTTTAGTATAGGTTTAATTATTTCTGTATTTCAACTTAAAATGTGAAATGTTGACGATTATGGCTTACAAACTATAACAAAATATTGTAAAATATTAATTACAATATATTTTAATACTAATTTTCTTTGGGGTTTTTACAAGATATACTAATTTTCAGAGTTTCACCTGTGCTTGCTTGCAAAAAGGCCACTTGAAGTTCCCAGACTTAAATACCAAAACATATTTTTTTCCAAAAGATAAAATAATTACAAAAAGTTATATTTTACCCTACCCACAGCTATTTAAAGTTGAATTATTTTTTCTTTTTTCTATACCTTTATTTCAGCTTTTCTGATTCTGTTTTAGAATCTCAGCTTCTCTGCACAATTGTAATAAGAGCTCGTTTTATGTTCAGCACCACAATGTATTTTGTCGATAAGAAAAGATGTTTTGTATGAATTCATTTTTCCACCATAGTGTTTATCTTACAAACACACACACACACGCGCTCACACAAACACACACTCACCCACACACACCCGCACACACACGCACTCACACACACACTCACTCACAAATAGGTTTGTATTATTGTATAGATTACTGGTCTGGGCCGGTGCCAGGGAGCATAAGCTGCACTTTCATCTCACACAAACAAAAGTGCGCAACAGAAACCAGAGCAGGGGACGCCTCTCTGCCATTTATATGAGAAAAGGTTTGTTCCAGATCAGGGACACGATGTTAAAAACAGCACCAGCAGAATCACAACCAGCAAATCAAAGACTTTCCCGTGCTGAGAGCAGAGCAGAACTGCTAAACGGTAACTATTGAAGATGTGGCTGTTTCCTTGACATATTACAGTTTGTACAGAGCATACATCAGCAAGCAGCTTTCAGCGTTACTCCTCACTTAAGTTTCTGACCACCTGCGTTTACATTTTTCTTGTATAACCATGTTACAACATTGATCTGATAATTCCCATTTTCATCTCCACTCAGACTCTTGTATTTATTTGATTACCACACAGATGGTACACATGCAGCACATGCATTTTTTTATTGAATTAGGTCAATTTAGAACCAAATACTGTTTTCATTAAAAGGAATATATCCATTAGTTCTGGATCTAATCTTGCACAATTCTAGAGGACTGAAACATGTGCTGCAGCTCAGCTCTCCATCTCCATCATTATACCGTGGCTCTTTCTGTGGCGCAGAGATTACCATGCCACAGACAAATCCCTCTAAAACACCTCTAGATGCTGCTGAACAAGGGCCACTGATAAGTGTCTGCGGCTTTTAAGATTTATTCAAAGAGAGATTTTTCCCACTGTAGAGAGTACATAAAAGACGCACAAGCATTGTACAGAATGTGTCGTCTGTCAAAGAGACTCACAATTGGAACAGTCTGTCTTCGACAAAAGAACGCCCCACAAGATCTACAGTTAGATCACACTGACTCCTTCTTGTTCTATGTTGTGTGTTTATGTCTGTAAACTGATTTGTTTTTATCTCTCTTCCCTATGGAAACTTGCTTTCTGCTTTAAAGAGTGACATCATGAAAATTATAATATTGCTCAAAAGTCCATTTACTTCTATAATTGAACTTAAACTCACTGAAAGTGAGATATGTCAAGCCTTTTTTGTAATCATTATGACTCACAGTAAAACCCCCAAATAAAACATCTAAAAAATTGATAACATTTAGTAAATGGACTGTAATCCACTTGCGAACATCATATACAGCATCATGCACACACTAGCATAACATGCCAGTTACCTTTGTTTAAAGTGGGATGTAGACTTTAATGATTAGTTCAGAGGAGTACTACTGTCTTCCCGTGGCCTTCAGTCCTGCTCCTGCCCCTCAGTGCAGTGTCCTCTGCAACTGTTGTTTACATTTTATGCATGGCTTTTGACAGCTGCAGCAGCACTCAGACCTACAATGAGAAGGTTTGATTTCTCTGCAATCTCACTTCAGCAGTCGTGAGTTCATGTGATTAGAAAAGTATAAAGTGTGTTAAAACATGCAGCTGCATGTGGCAGATTTAGTTTATTTTGGGTTATTTTTAGAACGTAATTCTTGCTATGAATGAGATAAATTGAACAACAGCACGCCACAGAAATGACCAATTCACACACAATGGAAAAGAGAATGGCTTGTTCATACAAAAGGGTACAAAAGTGTGACAGAGGGCCAACAATTTAATTTTAATAATCAGAAAACATATTAATGTTTTCAATTTATCCAAATACCTCTTTAGTCCATTAGTAGTTGGTAGAAGATAACTGTTGTATACATTAGTCAAGTGTCCGATAGCAGCTCTGTTTATTTGTACTACAGCATAGCTCATAAGAACCACCACTTGTTCCTGTTCTTCTTTTGGAGCAGCTTCTCCTGACGCTGCTCCTCGGACTGTAACATGTGTCTGACAGACTCACAGCAGTTTTGAGTTCCTGCTGTTGAATTGTGGACATGTCCTGCTCCAGAATGGTCTGCTCCTGCTCCGCCCTCTGCAGCTGAGGTCTGTCACTGCTGACAGCAGCTGGAGCATCTCCTTCTCCAACATGTCCATGTGATTCTGAAACTCTGTGGTGCTGCTCCTCTGCTCCTCCAGGGCAGATGTCAGAGAGGACACTTCTTTCTTCATTTCCAGTGTCTCCTTCTCCATCCGCTGCACTTCACTTTGAGTCTCCTCAAGAGTGTCCCTGTCCTCCTCCAGAGAACTTGTCAGAGAGGAGACCTGATTCCCCTGGGTCTGTGTCTCAAACATGTTCATTTTAATTTGAGACTCCACAAACCAGCTTCTTTCCACATCCAGGGTTGATTTTAGAAAAGACACTTCTCTCTTGTGGTCTCGTGTCTCCTTCTGCAGCAGGTCCACTTTGGTCTGATGCTCCAGGGCAGTGCTCCTCTCCTCCTGCAGAGCTTCAGCTCATGTCTCTCTGTCAAACATCTCCACTTTACTCTCAGCTTTGGTGACAGTGCCCCTCTCCTCTTCCAAGGCGGATGTCAGAGTGGACACTCTGATTGTCTCTTTTCTGATCTTCTCTGGCGAGCCTCAGGTCCTGTTGCGAGATTACTTTGAGACTGAAGAGTTTATCCTTGTTCTCATGTGCTGTGCTTCTACTGAGGTCTTCTGCGCCAGTTGAGTCTTGTAGGTTCTGTGTGAGCGACTGGTCTAGGGTTTATGCTTATTACGGAGGCTGGAGTCGGGAATGGAATAAAATTATAATTTGGAAGAATTATCTTCTCTCAATATTGTGGCATTGAGCCAAGATAATTATTATTAGTAAAAAATCCTGACCTAGATCACAAGAACAACCCATGTCTTTATAAAAATTCAGTACAAACCCAAATATTGTTTTTCCATGTAATTCTGCATTTTCATAATGAGTCATAAAACTGTATAGTCTATGTACATTATCGAAGCCCTATTGTTTTATTGCTAATTTAGTTTCAAATCAGTGACATGTAGCAAATAAATCGCCCCATGGTCATAAATCTTGAAAACTAAAACAAAAACCATGTCATTTTTATTCCAGTTTTTCAGTCAAAATGTCCATAAAAAGACAGTGTTTATGTAAGGTCTTACTTTGTATTCCACGACCCGACTCTGTAATCCAACCCCATTCAGTGGTAATCACCCCGTTAAGTGTTCAGGGGCCCCACATTGGTGCCAGGGTCCAGCCAGCAGAAGTTGTCCCAGGGGGGAGGGGGTCCGAGGGGCTTTCATTAAGAGCTGTCCATAGCAGATGGTGCCCACTCGCTGTCCGCCTTCACTGAAGCCATAACAATAGGCCTGTTTACCCCTCCCACTCTCTCACAATGGATCAGTCTGACATATGTGGCTGCTCAGTTTGTGTTGCTCAAAATACATTACCTTTTAAGAATCTGTCTTTGTCTTTTTCAATATTTACATGAAGCATTTACTGGCTCAAACTTCCATGTCTGTTTGAATGAATAAAGAAAAGGAAAATGATTTATTTGCAATAGCTTTAAAAAGTGGTGCATTTATTAAAACACAAAGACAAATACAAGGACTTCAAAACAGAAGAAATATTATGCATTACTTTTGGGCATGAATATAGAAAACTTTAGGGCAAATTTTGGGGATATTGTATAAAATATGGTGAAACGAGCATGAATGGTAACAAATGTGTTCCACCTGTAACTCTCATTGCTACCACCAGAGGGAGTAGTTGATTTTTGTTTTATTTATTTTTTCAAATAAAAAAAAACAGCCTTGTGATTGTAAAGAACATATCTTTACCTGAGAAATCTCCAATACGAATATACAGAGAACACTTTTGTTTTAAAATACCAGTGTGATGTCAAAGCAGCCCAAGGACATCATACTATTACAAGACTGAGACATTAGCTTTTTAGACAGAAGGCGTGGAGTCACATGTTCCTGATGTTAGCGTGGACGGGTCTGGTTTGGATGAGGAACAATGTGTTTGCTTGGTAAAAAGCTAAAAAAAAAAGTCAATTTAGCAGAATATGTTTAATTTGATATGACCAGTCTGTGGAGCCAAATCTCAAGAAAGCAAGAAAACAATTAGATGGATACACATTTTGTAAATGTCTTTCATAAATTGACAATCTTCCAGCATCATAAAAACTCCACGCTCCATTAGATATTAGTAGATTAGTTTTCAAGCATCTCTTTCATTCATTTGTCTCTTTAATAATAATAATTTCAGGACACTCAAAGACACTTTACATGTTATTAATCTTTCACTCCATACACAGGAGTGAAAAACTATTATTGTAGCCACAGTTGCCCTAGGGCGAGGCAACCAGAGGTCTCCCATCACAGTACTAACCAGGCCTAACCAGATTTAGAGGTCTGACAGGATTTGGCTTCCACATACAAGTTTGGCCACTTTAGGGTATTAGTTACTGTCCTATAGTAGAAAGTTTCCTTCGGTCCGAAGGAAGAAGGCGATTGAGGCTGATGTTGTCATAATACTTTACTCATAACTCCACAACTCACTCCTTTTCCCTCACGGATGTAAAACCATCAGCCTCCATCTGTTTTTTCCTCCGTGATTTCATAATTCTCCAGTTTCAAACGTCGGCGTTCCACTTGATTTGATTAGTATCGTGGTGTTTTGTCAGTCGGAAGTTGTGAACGCAGCAGCAGCACACTCGCCCACTCACAATATGTCCACGAGTATGGATCACACTCAGAGGAAAATATCACTGCAAGAGACGTCATCCAGATGTCGCAGTTCTGGCAGATTGGATTAAAGGGCCGTCATTTCTCACACTGGGAGTTGTGGGTAAACTGGTTAAACTGTGCCTGATTTGATAACAAGACTGTAATGTATTGTGTTACGTGTTCCAGAGTCGTGTATAGGGCTGCCATCATTGGACAGTGTATGAGAGCAAATGCCACAACATGAGATTTGTTTTGGGAAGATTTTTACTTTGAACCTGCAAAAAACATATATTTTTACATTAATCAACATAACATAGAAATAACAAGACTAATCTTGCAGAAAAATCCCGTCACAACAATTGTTCCCTGGTCAAAAAAAGATTTGGTTTATCTTGATCCAGAACTTAGATCAGCTTTTTGAGACAGAAAAGTGAAAAAGAGAGGACCACCATCTCTCAGCCAATCAGCTTTCAAAGTTTACAAAAGACAGAATGTTGTCAGATTTGTTTGTATAAGGCTTAGAAGGTTCTTTAAATAAGAAAAAAAGTAATGAAAAAGATGTTTTCGGGGGTTATTAAGCAGTACCAGCTTCTTTACATTTTTCTGTCTGATTAAAAGGAACTTCTAAGCCTCAAACATAAGAAGTCAACATTATTTTTTTGACAATTTGTTTCTATGTTTTTTTTTCGACAAACACAATGTTTTATTAATGAACCAAAGAAGTTTGGTACCACAGCTTTAAGTTAGAGGGCGTAATTAACTACCAAAATACAGTTGTGTTGGTATGAAATTATTTCTGTGTGTGTGTGTGTGCGTGAGCAGATGTATGTGTGTAACATGCATAGTTTACCTATAACACATGTGTCAAAGTCAAGGCCCGCGGGCCAAATCCGGCCCGCGAATGAATTTTGCATGGCCCGTTGCCTGCCATTGACGGACTATTAAGTCAATTGCGTTTTCTGCTATTTTCATGTTCCCAGATGTCTATTATATCTAATATGTTTGGGGATAAGCTTGAGAGCATATTGAATCGAGCCAGCAGGTGGCAGCAGCGCTCTCTGAATGGTTTGAAAACAGCTAGATGCACTTGTTGTGCCTCTTTTTTCTCAGCTTTTTGGTGATTTCAGTAAAACTTCCCTCTACTCAACTGGGGATTACAAGCTAGAAACAAAATTCTTTTTGCTGATGAAAGTAGACAGTCTATTCTTTCTGAATCTGGTTTCAGATTTCAGATTGTCATAGTACACAATATTCTGTGGGTCTTGAAAAATCTATAAAAATCATCAGAAAGTACCTGTTCTGAAATAGGCTGGCAGTCAATGAGTTAATAAACATTGAACCAGTCCGGCCCTCGGCTCGCAGCAAATTTATTTTTTTGGCCCTCTGATGTATTTGACTTTGACATGCCTGACCTATCACCTCTGTGTTGTGTGCGTGCAGTGGTGCTGAGCCGACAGCAGCGCCGGGTGCAGCTCATGAAGCTCCGGCAGAGAGAGGAGCGACTGCGGCAGGAGAGCGAGAACAAGAAGAAGAAGAAGAAACACAGCTCACACAACCACCAGAGGGAGCTCAAACACAAACCTGCGAGCCAGCAACCGCAGTACCACCACCCTGGCTCCTCCCACACGCAGCAGAGCCACGCCCCTCAGCCATACAAAGCCCCGCCCCCACAGACCGAGCCCGGCTACCACCGCAAGCCCCACCCTAAGAGACGCTTTGACGGAGACGTTCTCTCTCCGGTGAGTTCAATCTATATATAATCTATACATTTAACAGCCTTGTCATTTTTACCATACCTTAAGACTGTAAGGAACATATTCTGTAATAAATCAATAAACACTGCAAGTTTACCAAGATACATAATAAAATACAGTTCAATAAAAAGTGCAATTTACCAAAATATCTATTGAAAAACAGTCCAATAAGGTGCAATACCGAGTTACAGTTAGCAGCAATAAATAAAGTGTGGCACAATTTTCAAACAAATAAAGAATAAATACCCATATTGTACTGTTAGTACGCACAGGACTGATGTTGCAAAAGCCATTCTTTCAAAAGCCGAGAAAATTTATGAAAAACTGCCATGTTCTTTAGGTTGTCTGGAAGCGCATTTCATTCTTTGGTTATTCAACTCATCCTCAAACCTTTTAAAACACTTACAGTGTCACACAATCTATTGTTAACGCTCAACTATTAAAGTACCCGCAACAGAGCGTCTCGGCGAAGTTGCTGCTGCCTCCAACAGTGCGACACCGACACGTCAGAAAACACTTCAAAGGCGGAAACAATTAGACTTAGGTGTATGTTGCCGAAGAGATGCTGCTACTATACAGACGCTGACTTTCAAAAAATGTTCACGTAAATACAAAGTGCGGTTGGAATGCGGTTGAATTTGTAAACATCTGGAGATGTGCTGCAGCCGGAAGTGATACTTCATTTACATCAACGATATCTATGTTAGAAATTTAATTGGCAGTAATAGTTTGTGTGCCAAGGCAAAGTGACAAGACCTAAACTGGGACCTAGAGTGGTCTGACTCTTCTTGTATACTGGGACTGGAGTGGTTTGACCATGCTTGCATACTGGGATAAGAATGGTCCGACCAGTTTGTGAGAAAAGCCAAATTGAGTCCGGTTCTGTGGCCCAGTCCATATTCTCTGCCCATACAAACACTTCTAACTTCAGCCCTTTCTTCACAGAGCTACATCCGCAGTTTCCGGGACAGGCAGTCAGACCGGCGCTCCTACTCCCATACCCGGATCAGCCGGTCCCGCATGGCCGAGCTGGACTACGACTGCGGCTCCCAGGTCCCACTCACGGCCCAGAGTGGCCCCCCAGCACGCATCTGAAACCACCACTCTCCTCCGTGCGACACACCTATCCTAACAATACCGTGCCAACCTTATGCACTGCCTATCTTTTTGATGACTGGAAGAAAGACAATTGGAGTCTAGGGAGGTGAAATTGACAGAAAACCTCAAGAAAACAAAACAATATGAGACTTTGGAATTCATATGGACTCAAGAAAGGCTCCAAATGAAAGGATGGACCAACATACAGGAATCATTGAAAGTCTCTACAAACTCTGGTTTTTGATATTGCGAGTTCCTTCAAGATTTTGACGTGATTTGAAAAATTGAATTTTCCTCTCAAGACTGGTTCTGAATAACAGTGCAGGATTTCTGTCGTGAAGGATACCCTTTATTATGAGACTGTTTACCGAGTATGTTTATTTTGGAGGTTACAGCAAGGAGAAGGCAAAAAACTTGTAAATAGTTTGTTATTGCATTGTTGAGAAGTCATTGTGAATACATAGAACCTGCTAGCCATAATGACAACATAGCTTAAGCCTCTTCCTTGGTGTATTCAGGTTGAGAGAAAAAATGGCCCTTTCTATCTTGCAGCTACACTTAAAATAGCACGAGAAACAAATGTTTATGCTCGGTCTGACATGTGAGTGAGCTTTTGTCGCAAAATTCTGCTGTAAATTATAGCATTTTTAAAAGAGGCTTAAGCTGTGCCATTCAGATGACAAGGTGCACTGCAAAACCTGTCTCTTAAAGAGAATGTCAGCTGCTTTTCAAATTGTGCACTGGTTAGACCCGCTCACGTTAACGTCCATTATAATTCAAATCATTGAGGTCCCTTGTCATTGGTTTAAATACTCTATTCTGGCAAATCTTATTGATTGTATATTGGAGGTAATAGGTAATACTTACGGTACATAAAAGATCAGAATTACATTCTATTACTATGAAACACAATCACAAAAGTAGCTGGCATCACCTTTAAAAATCACTTGAATTCAAACTTGTGATCTTCATTGGAGCCGTTTGGGTCATGTTCAGAGTTTTTATTTAAACATTATTAAACACACATTTCTATTGAGGGCTTTTTTGTATTTTGGAAAACAGCCATGCAAATATACAACTCAAAAAACATTCTGAAGCCTTGAAAAATCTCAAGAACAAAAAGTTAGTTTGAATTCAAGTAAATGTATCGATGTGTTTTGCAGTGTAACAGTTGAATGTGTTTTATGTAAGTTTTCTGGTTGAGGATCCGTCACCTGCCTGACTTGCTTTTGCTTTGCCGGTCATGTTCCGTCGTAGCATCTATCTATCTATTGTTGGTGTATTTAATTCCAGCTTGTAAAATCTATGCTTGTTACGCAGAGTTTATGCCATTTAGTGGACGAATGAAATGTTTCGGACCCTCGACCTAGGAACTTATTTAATTCCTCTTTAATGTTTACAAAAAATATTTCAACCTTCAATTAGTTTTATGAGCTCAACATTCCATGACATGTTTCTAAGTGCCCTCTCGTGTAGATGTCCTGTCTTGTCCTTTTGTCTAATGTGACATGTGTTTCAATAGAGCGTCAGTGATGGACCTGCTGTTTGGCCCCATGGCGGCGTGGCTCCAACCAACGCTGGCTGAAGATGGGGGTGTTCTCCTGGGAATGTATAGCACTGGCGGGAGTATTCAGCCAGGCTGGATACAATGTGAAATCGTCCACTTTAAAAAAAGAAAAAAATGGACCTTGAATCAGAGCGTATCGGATGTTATTCTTTTTAACTTTTAGCCTGTTGGTATGCTAACATGAGCACAGCTAGAAAACAACTGTAGAGAGAAGAGTTCATTTGCAAAAAACCAAAAAATGACATATGAAAAGTGAAATTACCTTAAACTAACATTACAATACAAATTCAAAAGCAAATTGTATTTCAAAGCCATAAAAATTTTATTTTATTTTTGGCTTGGTATCTTTTAGGGTGTAAATAACGTAGATACAGGAGACCATCTATAAAATACGATTGGATATATGTCTCAATGATACAATGCAGTAAAAGCCTTTGGCCCTTTATCTATCGCTAGGCCACATTTGATCAAAATATACAACACTATTGGCAGATATAAAAGCTCTTTTCTTCTGCTGTTCCTAGTCAGGTAACATAAGTAGAAATACATTTACAAAGAATGTATATAAAACTAGCAGACCGTTCAAAGTATCCATCCATCCATTTTCTACCCTTTAATCCATTTCTGGGTCAGGGGGGTGGCAATCAGAGATGCCACCCAAGTCTCATAGCACCAGCCCCTCACTGACCCTCTGCAGGTGGTGAGTCCACAGGAGGACGGCTGCTCTGAGTGTGAGCATAGCCTTGATCTTTCAGTGGGGGCTTTTGGGCAAAGTGGGGTTAAGTGTCTTGCCCAAGGACACAACGACAGCAGCCATCAGTGGGAGTCGGTGGAGAAGGTGCAGAGGTGGGAATTGAACCCACGACCTTCTGGCCTTAAGGCCAATGCTCTACCAACTGAGCTACTGTCGCCCACCGTTCAAAGTAAAGACACTGAAAATGATTGGAAGTCAAAATAGAACAGAAAATCTATTTATATTTATATGCAAAATGGGGGGATATCTCTAGATGAAAAATATTGCATCTAAGTTAAAAGTATTGATATAAATCTAAAAATGTGTTTTTAGCACACCCCTAATGGCTCTTGGATAATATGTTTGTATAAAATTCAACGAAAGAAAGATGAATTGCAAATTAACTCTTCAACAGAGTTCCGTTTTTACTTAACTACAAACCATGCATCACTTGGTCACAAGCAAAGATTACAATAGTTGATGATTGCCGACTTGGCATTTTTGGAGATTGGACCAAACATCACTGCCACATGGTCCCACAATGACTCCCTTTGCAGTCCCATCTCAAGAGCGTTGACTCCTCCTGCCCCTGTTTACGGATACAAAGCACTCAAATCCCGCCGCTGACAACTCTCAGTTCTTACAGCGTCAGCACGTTCCGTTGTCAGGGTTTTCCTATTTGTCCACAGATATTTGTGGTCAGCACTACGTGGAGCTGTCCAACAACAAAGAAAATAGAAGCAGAGTTGGAAGCTGGAACCTGGAAGAATTCTGTGCACACACATAAAGCTGGGGTATCTGACTTGATTTCTTTCATAAATAATGTTCACCCCAACAGAAATAGCCCACAAAATGCTGTCTTCGTCTTATTTTATTTTTATTTATCTTTTGCATATGTGTTAGAAAGAGCCCTGTGGGTGACAATTTGACGCTTTGGTGCAGAGAGCTGATTGGCTGAGTCCTCTCTATAAGTACATACATGTGAAAACTAGTGATACATGTTTTAAGAGCAACAAACTAGTTATAGTTGATGACACAGTTAATTGTTGTGGTTTGAAAGGTAGGTCCCCATAAATATTCTCTGTGCTCGAAAAACATAATTCTTTATCATTTAAAGTATATGCCTAGAAATCTGATAGACAAAATGATTACCCTGATTATCAACTGCTGCTGGTAATCCATGGCTGTGTCAGAATGCCCACTCCAGTTCTTAAAGTCGGGGGTCCCAACCTCGACCCAGGGGTTAAATGCAACCCTCAGCGCATTTCCTGGCAACCGAGAAAATATGAATTATCTGGACATAGTTCAATTTACAAACTCCTGACCCTAGCCCTCATTCGGCTCCAGCCTTTCCTCAGCTCCAGCCTTTCCTCTGAACCACACAACACTGACCCCTTTAAAGTACCCTGGGGAGAGAGGAAAATGCCCTGATGAAATGTGTCCAACTAATGCATTGCAATAGTCCAACAAGGTTAATTTGGTCTTCTTATACAACAAATTGGTCTTTAAGACAAGAGCCGTGGTACACAGATTGCTGGTGCCACCAGAGGCAACAGCGCCATCTGCAGTCCGACTTGTGCGAGATCCTAGGTGTGTGAGAGACCGGGACAAGGGGGCTTTTATACTCTCTCACACCTGTCCGGTCAGGTACGAAAAAACTGCTCTGGTCTTAAAAAAAAGAATCAATTTGTAGTAAAGCATTGGAATGTTGTGTTTTATAACTTTTTTTTTGTCTGTTTCTTTTAGTAAACTTTGACGTTGAAGCATTTACAAGGTAGCACCACAATCCCTTTAACGTTTTTTACCTTTACAGATGAGCCGAGTCAAAACTGCCGATAGTAATCACAAATGACAATGAAGAATTCTAAAAAACCATAACAAACAACCATATTTACAGTTTCCGAATGTAAGGGTTTGGAGAAGACGTTATATATTGTCACATCTGTCTGTTATTTTCTGCTCTATTTCAATGTTGTGCAATTTTGACTGATTTAAACTTTGCCGCTGTCTGTGTAGAACTGTTTGAAATGTACATATTAAGATGTAAATAATTTGGACTGTGAGAAAATTGTTTACACCATGGCTGTTACTGTACACGATTATCCGTTCCAGAGTTTTTTCTTACTGTACTTTGAATTTTTTAATTTCCATTTTCAAGGAATTTGAATTAATTTTAATGTTGTATGTGAGGTTTTTTTTGGCTTGTCAACAAATGCACTTTTTCCTCAGCCTTTATTCCATTAGCTCATTGTACTGTACTTTTGAATTGGTCCTATGTTTTGGAGTTATTCTTATGATTATTATTGAAGCATGAAACATTTATATGGACCTGTCAATAAACGTCGTGATTCTAAACTGTTTGGACTGGTTTTGGAGAGATCAGCTCGGATTAGATCCACTACTCCTCCAACTTTTTATGCTTTTTAAAACATCCATATCAGAGGGATAACCCATTAAATGTTTACTCATTCTTCTACCCATCAATTATTCTAATATATCCTAATTATGCAAGTCCAAAAGCCAGGAAGTGCCCTTTTAGCATGCTAGCTGTTGTTAATTAAATGGTATTGGCAAATTTCCATTTTGGTTTCTGAAAGTTGTGTGAATAGAAATTATAAACTGTGAATTATTAGGTATGCCTTCAAATTAAGAAGTTGTGTTTTGGAATCAGATAGTACTTCTAAATATTGAGTACTTTAACAATTTTAATATTAATAAATATGTTTTATAGCAACAGAAAGTAATTCTGTTGCGACAGTAGCTCAGTTGGTAGAGCACTGGCCTTCAGGCCTGAAGGTCGTGGGTTCAATTTCCACCTCTACACCTTCTCCACTGACCCCCACTGATGACTGCTGGCGCTGTGTCCTTGGGCAAGACACTTAACCCCACTTTGCCCAAAGCCCCCACTGAAAGATCAAGGCTATGCTCACACTCAGAGAGCAGCCGTCCTCCTGTGGACTCACCACCTGCAGAGGGTCAGTGAGGGGCTGGTGCTATGAGACTTGGGTGGTATCTCTGACTGCCACCCCCTGACCCAGAAATGGATTAAAGGGTAGAAGATGGATGGATGGATGTTTTATAGCAACAGAAAGTAATAGTTTTTAGACCATAATCACCCCACAACATGCTGTCTTCCTCTTATCATAACTCTTATGTTGTCTTTGTAAGAATAAGCCCTGTGAGTCACTATTTGACACTTTTCGAAATTTCCCCACTGTGGGACGAATAAAGGAATTCTTATCTTTGGTCTGAGAGCTGATTGGCTGAGTGAGGGTGGTCCTCTCTTTTTCACATTTCTGTCCAAAACATACATCTTTGTGAAAACTAACGCTAGAACCAAACTGTTTTGACAGCTTTAAGTTTGTAGCATCAACTTTTCGCCTGCATCTTTGAGTCATTTAGAAAAGCGATGGATCCAAAGTACACATTATCATTATTATTATCTTTCCGCTGAAAAACGGTTATAGTTCGACATATCCTCATTTACCGCTTGCATCCTCTCCCGTGGTCTTTATCAGGCTGACATTTCCGTTTCAGTGAAGACAGAACATACAATTATTTCTCCATGTTCAGGTTTGCCGTTTGAGCCACAGAAACAAAAGCCTGGGCTCGAACAAGCTAATTACAGGGCATTGTTCGCTCCATTCTGCAGCCGGCCTGCTCTTCTGATAATTCAATAGATCCATTCAACTCTGACTCAACTTTGAGGAAAACACAAAGAAGTAGGAACAAAGGGGCTGAGTTTGACTTGTTCTATAAACGTGACATTAATAACCCACGAAAGAAAGTCAACAGAGGCACAGGGCTGAACACGGAAGAGATGTGATTTATGTCGTGGCATAGATTCTCATCACGGCGAGAAGATACAGCAGAGTGTACACAGTGTTCATGCATGGGTCCTTTTCACATTGAGACTTACTAAATGAAGGTGCAGGGATCAGCCTTTTTTTTTTTAAACAACAATATTTTGACACCAGAAACTCTGGCAATAACCTTGAGAATGTTGTTTCTTCCCAGTGTGAAAAACCCTTGTGACTATTATCTGTTCCGACAGATACAGGCTATAAAACCTCACTCCAACTACAATACTTAAATGCATATGTTAACGTAAAGGAGCCGTGGTTTCCCTAGAGCCTCACTGTCCAACTATCAAGGTTCAACTTTATTGTCTCCAAAGGGAAACTTGTCCTGGGATTCAAACATAAAGGAGGCACAACTTCAACACAATATGTTATAATATTAGAGAGAGGATACAAATCTCACAGTATTTACACATTAAACAAATATTCTTATACAGAAGAATAGTAGAAGAAAGTACATTGCATTTGTTTATACGACTTATAAGTAACTAAGTAATCTTTATTTATACAGCACCTTTCACAGACCAGAGTCACAAAGCACTTTACAATTGTTGTGGGCATTTGTCCCTCACTCTCCAAAGATATGGAAGCAAGGTCGCCATACAGAGGCATGCCAGACCTATTGTACATGTTGTGGTAGGGGAAGCCGGAGCACCCAGAGGAAACCTACACAGGCATGGGAAGAACATGCAAATTCCACTCAGAAAGACCCTGTTCGGACCGGGATTCGAACCCAAGACCTTCTTGCTGAGAAGCGAGAATGCTATCCACTATCCCTATGGCAACATGGTCTCCCAACACAGTACTGACCAGGCTCTGCTTCGCCTCCTGAGCTTCTGAGATCTGACTTTTGACTAACAGCCAGGCATTACTGATGATTGATGGTGATTGGGAAGAGAAAATGTCGCAGATTGCCAGTGTTTTTGTCAATCTACCCCAGGGAAATAGGAGAAGCAGAGATAGCACAGAACAGCCGTACAGTAGAGTAAAGAAAAGCAAAAAATAATGGACTTATTGTGAATGATGACACACACTTGAGCGTACTAATAAACGTTTTTATTGGGTTTCCAGCACAGTGATGCAGCTTAGCGTGGACTCCCTGTTACATACAGAAAAACGTCATTCTTCAACTCAGCGTTTTGTTTTTTACATTCTGTGTTCAGCCACTTGACAACAGCACCAAATCGATCACACTGAAATTCTGCCCTTGCTCCAACTTGACATAAATAAGCATAAGCCGTGTTAAACTGAATGCTTTAATACCTTAAAAACAGACACGTTTGATGACTATTTTTGGAATGCCCTGTATAAAATTCATATGAAAACCTCAGTACAGCCTACATACTGGTCGCATTCACTTCCCCTTTCTCCGTTGCCTGAGCTAAAAAGACTTGGACTCCAGCCTAAATGGTATAAATATATCATCTTTATATAGGGGGGGATTATTCTCGCCTCTGTTCTCCGGGTTCAGTGCGGCAGTAGGATTTAAACTGACGTGGGCGTAATATGCATTTTATTTGCTTTTTCTTTCGTGGACGTACTGCAGCTCTTGTAGTATATGTGCTCGTCTTGTTTCTTTTACATGATGTCTTGCTGGTGCTGTGTGGACTCGCTCACCACCTACAGAAGCAAAAAGAAGGCAAAAAAATAATTCAGGTGCAGAGATTTCATGGTGGATTTTATTTGCTACTTTGATGTTGATTGATCAAACATAAGCAAGAGTGCTGCTGAGTGGGCAGTCAATCCGTGTGAACTGGATGGGTGTTATTTAAATGCAAGTAAGAAATGAATATTGAGTTTAAAAAGCTTTACACGGGATGCAAATTTTAGACTTATTGATCTGAGAAATCTTGTCAATTGTTATTCAATACTGTGGTCATGATCTCGTCATCCTGGAGTGACAAATGTGAAATACAGACTATAAGTGAATAATTCAGTGAGGTAGAAATGTGGGACACAGCTTTAAACAGTGTCCCACTTGTCAATAGTGAATGGAGTGAGTTAGTTCGGTTGTTAACAAGACGGTTTCTAGCTTTGTGAAGGGCCAAATGTAATTACATGTAATGAAATGCGGTCTGCAGTGGTTTTGTTAGGCCCAGCACTGTAGAAACAGCCCTGCAGAAAGGGTACATGTGTTTTCCCTGTGGAGGCTTCAGTCATCAGTGAGAAATGGCAGTGATAATGGACTTACAGTTTGGGCACTAGCCCCCTGGCTCACACAGTACTTCATCTGATGGACACAACACACATGGATATGAGGCGGATGTAAAAGCATGTGTGAGGTGTGAGGATCTCCGGGCATTCTGTCCTGCTCAGGGTTCGGTCCAGGTCGAGTCCGAGTACTGTCACAACACTATGTTTCTAAATAGATTTTGACACTAGAGAAAAAAACTCAACAATACTATAATACCGTGTTCAGCTCCCCTTTTCCAGCAGGGGCACATCAGACTCCACCCATTCCCTCTCCATGGTTAAGACTGGCTCACTTGATGAAATGGGTGGAGTCTGCAGAGCTCTTACTTGGTTGGAATGAAAACCTGCAACCACAAGGCCCTTTGAGGACCGAGCTAAACCAATGTTGATAACACAGCAATTATTTATAAATGCTCTTTTTGCACAATAAACTGTCATTTTGAAATCAATAAAAATCAATTCAATCAAATCTGAGAAAAAGAAGAAATGCTTAATCAATGAATTATCTTTATGTAACTTATTTTACTACAACTACTTACTCAAATTAGTATCAAGTTTCGATACTAGTTCTTCTACTCTATACTCTTGACTACTTGTACTCCATACTTTTTACAACCCCAAGTCCAAGTATGAATGAGTCTTTACTTTTCTTCATTATTTGCCTTTCACAATGTGTGTCTTTCCCTAATAAAGCACAATGTCTTTGGTCCTATCTGTGCAAAGTATATATTGAGTTTCAAAAAGTAACAAAATAAAAATTCGAGGCGGATGAGAATGTCCTAAAGACCAGGTTCAGTCCCAGTGCTGGCCTGTTATTTGGGGAACACTCACCTCTCCGTCACGGGTCTCGATGGTCTTGATGAGTACGGTCTTCTTGGAGTGGACCTCAGAGGGGCGCTGCTGCTTCTGGGACTCAGGGCTGGTCTCTGCGACACACACAGAACCAACAAGTGAACCTCAAGCTGCAAAACTGTACTGATGTTCAACCAAAGGTGCATGGGATTTAGTAAACAGTGAGCTTATCAATTTTCAATGCTAAATAATGCTTTTAATTATGGTCATGGGGTGGGAGTTTACAAGTTTTTACTTCTTTCCCACTTCATTTTGAGCTGACAAATTGTAATTAGAAATGCAATTGTAAATGTATATTGAAATTTTAGAGATACATCAACATATACAAACTGTGGCAAATGCTGTTGCTTGATTGTATATTATTTATGTTTGTATATTTGAACGTGTAAGTATATGCTGTAAGCACAACAGGCAACCTGTACAAAAGGTAATGTAAAATTAGGAATGTAAATACATATTAACGTAAAATGTCTGCAAAAATAAATTAAAACCAATCAATCAATCAAAAAATGGCGTACACAGTGGTGGACCATGGAGGTTTACTGGAATAAACAAAGATTAATCTGAACTCTGGGGAAAACAATCTAACAATATGTTTCTCTCTTCTATCTCTCTATTCTCTCTTCTATGATCTGAAAGGAGCTGAGAGCACACAATAGGAAGTTAAGGAGCAGCAAAGTTCAGGATACATTACAAAGGAAAACTGCAAGTGATTGTAACATTAAAACCAGAATTTTCATTTTAGCAACAGAAAATAGACTTTTTTAAATAGACTTTTTTCAAGAAAATTCTATTGTTTCAACTGAAATGCTTGACAGTATTTCAGTACAGTTGTATAACTCACAACAATAGTGTATATTTTTAACCCTTGCCAATCTCAAGATCACGTTATTTGGTTGCCATTGCCTACAATGTCCAATTATGTACTAATTCAAGCTATAAAAAGTTCAGAAAATCAATTATAAAAATAATGTAAATTTTCTGATACTAACGATGATTGTATGAAGACAGTAAAGAGCAGTAAGAATATTGATTAAATATAAACCCAGCGCCTCAAACACAGCAAAACTATATCAAACTGCTCTCTGCATCCACAGCCTGAGAGAGTGGATTATGGCCATGGATGGATGGATATGAAAACAACATCCATACATCAACCTGCGATTACTGCTGCCAAAATAGAGCAGCCTCACCGCGCCTCCCAGTGGACACTTCTCATCACTGCAGGCCGACAGCTGCCTTATACAGACATGAGTTATATTTAGATACTTCAGCATCTCAGGGGATGTCATCATTGACCGAGGCTTTGATTTAGTCCAGCCAGCTTATGCATTGTATTCAAAGACTTACCTCTGAAGCCGATGGAAGAAGAAGTGGAGTAGGCAGACTGCATGGGCATGGTGATCCTGCAACAAATAGCAACACATGCAAGAATATTAAGATTTTTTGAGAGAAAAAGGGTTTGGAAACTAGATCAAAGTAAGTGTGAAGAGTGTGAGAGGCTGCACCTGCTCTCCTCCCCTTCCAGCAGCTTCCTGTAGGTGGCGATCTCGATGTCCAGAGCCATCTTCACATTCAGCAGGTCCTGGTACTCCCTGAGGTGACGGGCCATGTCGTCCTGGGACAACAGCAGACAAGAGTTTTTCAAATGAGGCGTCTTTGCTTCCTTATTACACTAAAGCAAGAGATTTAGTACTTGCTTCATTATTATGCTAAAGCTAGATACTTTAAGCTTGCTTCTATATTATGCTAAATTTTAGCATAATAATTTTAATTTTTGTTTTTATTTTATTTTATTATAGAGCTATCCCTACTTTTCTGTAACTGGTAATGCAACACATAAACTTCCTCACTGTGAGAAGAATAAATTACATCTTCAATCTCTTAAAGAGCAGCTTCTGAGCATGGTTCTGTTGGGATTTTTTTGTTTTTTTGCACCTTCAAAGTTGGTATTCTGCATGTTTGAATCATATACCCTTGGCTCCTCTATCTGACAACTGCTACACATCCACTCTTTTTACTGTTACTGCAAAGCATAATTTATTTTCTTTATCTGTGATTGACGGACAATTTCCAGTTGTGTAACTACAGTATAGACAAAAGTCCTGTGGCTCCTTTTCCATGTTGTAATATCAGAGCAATGGAGGAAGTTATTCTTTTATATAACTTCATAAATAGCACTGTGCAAAGTGGCTTCAGTCCAAGGTTAGTCTATGAAAAGAGATCCACAAGTGTTTCAGTGCCAGTTTCTGTGGCTCCGACTGTGCATGCGTTTGCCACATGGATAAGCAATATAAAATACTTAACTATATTTATGGTAATTGGAAAACCGATAGAGCCATAAAGCAGTCGACTGGAGAGTGTGATTTCAGCTTGTTTATTGGTAAGAGCAGAATCTTCATGGAAAGTCATCCTCAAAATTATTGTAAAAACGTAACAAATGTTAATTCTGTAGGAGCTGGATGTGTTACCACAACAGACCTACTGTAAGACTGTCAGTGGTTGAGGAATCCAACTCCACGCCATCTCTTGTAAGAATGATTTTTTTTCGTAGTATGCTGTGCCCTTTCTGTTTTTGGTTCTGCCCTAGAGCCTTTGCTGCCCTCACAGTCTCCTTGATCTCAATGGGATTTTCATAGTTAAATAAAAGTTGAATAAATGAATAAACAAATAAACAAATCAATAAATACTGATGTGTGGCTGTGTAGATACAAATGAATTGCCTGTTGGGGATAAATATTTTGTTTCTGATCTCGTACCTTCATCTTGGCGATATCCTCCTCCAGGCGCTGGATGGTGTCCTGGTAGGTGCCAGCCTCACGACCCAAGCGCTCCTCCATGTCCCTCATCTGACGCAGCAGGGACTCGTTCTGCTCGGGAGACCACAGCAGTTAGACTCAGGGTTTAGGGGTTTGAGGGTTTGAGGGGTGAGGATTATCTAGGGCAGGTTCACTCACGGTGCCCTTGAGCGAGTCGATCTCACAGGTGTAGGACTGGATCTGGTGTCTGAACTCCATGGTCTCCTGCTTGGCTGAGCGCAGGGCGTCGTTGTTCTTGTTCACAGCCTGGTTCAGGTCTGACACCTGCACAACAACAACACACATGCTGTAAATCTGTTTGTGTTATAATAAGTCACAGTTAAGTCCAGGCTGTCCAAGAAGCAGCACAGTTTAGCGGTATGAGAACTACTAAACCAATGCAGGTACTGTTTGTTTTCCTGTCATCTAATGGTGAGTGGAGTCACCAGTGGAACTAAGATTCAAATATCATTAATAAACACGATTTAAGATAAGGAAATGTGATCCCAAAAGTAAGCATACCTTAGACTTGTACCACTCCTCAGCCTCAGAGATGTTCTTGGCGGCGATGGCCTCGTACTGCACCCTGATGTCCCTGAGAGCAGAGGTGAGGTCGGGTTTGGACATGTCCATCTGCACCTGGATCTGAGTCTCCTGCATCTGGCTCTGCAGCTCACGGATCTCCTGCACACACATCACACATTATGATGATTGGGACACTGCACACACATCAACAAAGGAGTGGACTTTTTTTTTTTTTTTACTGCTGCTACATTGTCCACCTGCCACTCCCCATAATAACTTAAGAGGTTAATTTGTGGAACTGAAGATATCCATTGGATCAACTCTTCAAGCTTAAACTGCATTTCTATCACCATGTTGTGGATTGTTCTGTTCATGTCCGGTTAACAGGTTTGCTAATGCTTTTGTATTATGTTTGCCCAGCAGTCCACACACACAAACATTGCATCTCTCCTCCACTGGCTCATACACAGAAGTCAGTCTACTCTAGTCTTGTCTCACACAGGATCCATCTATTGCTTTGTACAATGTGGTCACTCCTGTTGCTTTTCTGGTATTGAGAAGAATATCTCATGTTTGAAAATCACCTGAAATCACACTGTGTACTGTATGTCCAGCTGAGGGCATAAACCTGGAAGACCCTCCTAACATTATCCCAATCAAACTGAAAAGTACAGACACTTACTTACAATCTAACATACCGTAAATAATCCATATCATTGATTTGTGTTTATTTAATTCTGATTGTTCAACATGTACTGTATTTCCCTTTCTATTGTCTCCCCTGTTCTTGGTGGAAATGAGTGAAAGTAAATGTATAACCATTACCCAACTGGAGGCTGGTAATGGTTTCTATTGCAACCCAGGAAATATGGGAATTTTATTTTGAAAAGTATAGCTGTTTAGGGATTGGTACCCATCAAGTGCAGTGGTATATGTATCTTCCAATTTGAAAGCGTACATACTGTATTTTTTGTGACCCACGTTCTGACACTAAAATAAAACATTGTGTATAGAGACTACAGTACTTCTGCATATTGCTCTGTGTGTTGGGGTCTGGCGTGCAGACCCCCACACATGTTATTCCAGGGACTTTGAAAAGGTAGAGAACCAAGGCTTTTTTAATCCAGCCGTGCGGTGGTCTGGCTTCCCACTTGTCTGCAGCTGTCTCTCGGCCTTGTGCTCAGTGGATAAAAATACCCAATGCATCTGCTCACACGGCCCGCGGTCGACAGCCCTCTCTGACCAGTCGGGGCGCACATAACTCCCGGGTCAAGGGTCCACCTCCTGCGAGAGGCATATGTCCCGGTCCATAACTCCGCACAAGCTTTGATCCACGGCAAATATTTATCACTGCACTTTTATTAAGTGACAAAGGCAGAAAAAAGTACCATATGATGTGATAATGATACACAAGTCGTTATTAACAGATTCTTTCCCTATACTGTCTTTAAGCTGGGGTAACTAACTTACGAATCAACAAAATTGTCACGTAAAATTGGTAGGTATGACATAAAATCCTAAATCACTGAACAGCTTGGTTAGTTTTCACATGCATATAGACAGACAGAAACCTGAAAAAGAGAGGACCACCACCAAACTCCTCTAAGCCCAAAACTCACAGGGCTCTTTTTTTCCTCATGAGAGAAAGACAGCATGTGGCAGTCTCTTTCTGATGAGCCGAGTAATATTTGGGTTTCAACATGCAAACAATTCTATTAGCATTTGATAAACTGAAATCTATTATAACTCTATTGGTGGTGTATTTCATTAGTTCTGAAAATGTTGCATGAGCCAGAAAGCTAAAACTTATGAATGATAACAAACAAAACTGAAAATTGGGATACAAAATATGATTTCCTGTTCTGGTATGACACAACAATAATGAAAAAATAGTCAAATACTGAATCAATTGGAATTAGAAACACAAAATATAAGTTCAAACCTTTTACATCAGTGTGTACATTTCAGTGTTGTATTGGTCCATGATTTTAACGTTGTTGTAAGTGTGAAATACAATATCCTTGAGGAGTCTTTTTTTAAATGTGTGTCAAGTCGGGACATGTTTCTGACCTAGTCCAAGGGTGGACGTGCTTACATAAGACTCCGACATATAGATAAGAGAAAGCGGGTCTGTCATCTTTATTAAATATAACATTATTAATACTATTCCACTTTTGGTATTTGCTCAAACGTGCATCTTTGAACACATCGTCCAAGTAAAGACCCCATCTCCTTTTGTTCCTGTTTTGTCACCTGTCAATGTGAGCCAAAAACTGCCTGGTCATGTATCTTTGGGATACCACCTCAACCAATCACTTCATGACAAGAAAACTCAACTGAACTGGGTCATGTCCTCTGGGCCGAACATTTCAACAATGCATCTCTACTTTTATCAGAGTTTGGGGTCACAGCGACTGTACCAAACATCTCATTCAGTTACGATTGTGTCTGCTTGATTTTTGTGAACAAATAATCGCTAAATGAGTCTAAAACTAGGACTAGACGACTACGAACTAGGTTAAAACCAGAAAAACAAAATTTTTAAAAAAGTAATCTTAACTTTTACATTGTGTCTGTTTGCAATGTGAATTTTTTCCTTTTTGTGAGTTACTAGCACAAAAAAAAGGAAAACCAAACTTTTTTTTCAAATACAATACTAATATGTTTTATTACTTGAACAGGGGCTGAAGGTTGAAATGTCCGGCTTTTTGAAACTGAATCTTCATTTGGTTTGGACTTTAGAGCATTGAAGCTAACTAGTCAACTAAATAGACAAGTCTTATTAACAGCTTTTTCTAGTCATTTGAATTTGCCTTAGAATTGAATCCATTGCAAAATTCTAACCACTCAGTAACATGCAAAAGAAATTCATACTAGTCAATACCAAAAGACCAAAAGAGTTCGAAAAGTGCCCTGGAGAACTGGCCAGACTTGTTTGTTTGGTCCATAAGTATTAATCAGCACACATTACATATACTGTGTAACAAGGGTTATACGTTTTAGGGAACCCACCTCTTCATGGATCTTCTTGAGGAATGCGATCTCCTCGTGCAGGCTCTCGATGCGCCTCTCCAGGTCCAGTCTGGCCAGAGTGGCACTGTCCACGTCCTGGGGGCAAAACAGCAGAGCTTCAGCTAAACGAGTGTATTCACAAAAGAGGCTCACTACAAGGTTTGGAAATAATTTAAAAAACACAAGCTGCACTCTTCCACTTCCACTCTGCAGTTGGACTTGCTTTATATTAACTCAATACTGTCCCCTGCCCCTTAGACCGTTGCTTTAACGTCTATTGTGTGTACTTGTATGGAGTAGTAATTTTAAGACATGTAAATTGTTTAGTTTCATGCATGCCTTATTCTAGTTTATACTTTTATAACTAGTTTGCACCAAGAGCCAAAGCCATTTCCTTGTTTGTGACTTCCTGTTACTCACAATGCCAATACTAGTAATTCTGATTCTGATTTTTGACTTCACTTACAGGTGCACAAAAGCAGTTTTATATTCTAACGATAAAATTTGAACAATTTGTACAAATGTATAAATGAAAAATGAATCCTTCTTCTAATCCATCTAATCTCAGCAATATATTCCATGCATGCATTTGATATTTTCTTAAGATACAATTCTCAAACTGTGAACCAAGTACATTCAATATACAGTCTTTTCTACTTGTATAGGAATGGAATAGTCATGTTTTAGAAGTGACTTAGTCATACGTGAAATGGCAAATCTTTTCTGAGTTGGTATAATGTGTGGAAACTTTTGGAATCCTTCTCAAAATTACAAATGTTCCCAAATGTCGCTTATTGCTCATCGTTATAAGTTCATACGTACAGCTCTGAAAGCAGACAGGTTGTTCTCAGCCTCTTCTTTCTGATGAATCTCCTCCTGCAGTCTGCACAAACACATTACATAACAATGAAGATGCATTTTAATAATCTACCTGTAGGACACATTGGGTGTTCAGTATATACTGCGCAACCGCTTTAAAGCCAAAAAAAAACAATACAGACTTTATGAAGGTTTTACATCCTCATTTTGGCACCACTGAAGATGTTCGTGTTGTGATTTATGAATGTTAACAAGACGCTGATGCTCTAGCTTATATGTAAATAATGTATATACCTCATGACTGATGCTAACGACAGTGTATACTCCACAAATGCACTTATCCTTGAACCAAGTGCAGTTATACATTCAGAGTTTTATTTTACTTTATTATCCATTATCTTAAATAATAGATCCAGTTTGATGCGTGCAACCTGAGTGCTCTTGTTTCCACTTCTTTTTTCAGCTGTAATGCGCACAAACAATGACATTTCTCCACTTTCTCCAATGAGGGACGACTGTTTATCTTAACTGTTGCGTATAGACATTTTGAGTTGCATAAAGAAGAAAACACACTGCTTCTCATAAGTCGTCTTCTACACACAAACCAATGATGAGGTAAAATGTTCTTCCATCAAATAATCTGTGATAAATGTGGAGAATTGAAATGTCTAAAATACATTATAATATTCTGTGGATAGTTCATATGGCAGACAAATGAACACAGTGTCTTAAACAGAAGAAATATGGAGCTATGGAGTGTGAGGAAGTCTGATTTAAACAGAAAGGCATTGATGCGTTTTTACATTTTCCCAAGTCATGTTTTAGTAAAGGATTTTTTATTGAAGTTTTTAGCCTATTTTCCACACAGCATTGGTTGCTTTTTATACATTATATCGTCTATGAAAACTTACAGAAGCACCTTCTGGTTCCCCCTGGTTACATGGACAGCTAAAGTGAGCAATTTGTCAGATGCAATGAGAGACAGTCCACAAAGCTGCAGTTTATTGCCCATTCTGTGACCTTTAAGACCTAATAGCTGGACCCGCTCTCCCGTTATCTCTCCTGACGGCTCGCTGCTCTGACCGGTCGCCCTTTCACTTTGCCCTTAACTTTAAACCTGTGTGGGTGGGTTAGTGCAGCTGCTGTCTACAGTCGCATTCTGACAGAGCCCAAGCCATTACACTCACTCACACACCTCTGCTCCTGCTTTTACTGCCGCCATTGTTTGTATCGCCCTAAGCTCCTGCCAAAAGAAATCATCATGGAAAACAGGAAGCACTATCGATGACATGGAGCTGCCTCTTGGAGATTTCAAAGCCAAGTTGATTTGGCCACTCCATCTCTGCTGCTGTGACCTGAAGGGCTGTTGCTCATTATTGCTATTGTTAGCTTTTTAGAATTATGTCATGTCATTTCTAACCCCTTTATTATACAATTTCTGGGCTTTTTAGAATGATCAATTTCATTTTTTATTTTTGCTGCTACTGGACACCTGAATTTCTCCTATGGGGATCAATAAAGTATCTATCTACTGTATCTATCTATCTACTATACAGTAGTTGTTGATTTTTACAACACATTTCTAATGAAGCTATTTTTGCAGAGCAGTGTGCTGTAATGACAGTAGTAATTACACACACTAATATCTGCTGTGTATATTCTCTGACAGACTGCATTCTTTTGTACAATTTCATACTGAATATAGAATCTTCAAGTGAACAGAAAATCTAAAATGACTGTTGCAACTCATCATCAACAGCTTTCTTTTGTTCCTTTGGTTTACAACCGAACAACAGCATGTGCACTATCACTATTATTAACATTATAGATTAAGCCAATGTATTTATTGATGTTTGTGTTTCTGCAGCTGGACACCTGCGTTTCACCTACAGGGATCCATAAAGTGTCTATGCAGGAGCTTAACGGAGAATGATGTTAAGCAGCCTACATTTTAAACAGAAATATTGTGTCCTGACCATGACTTTTGACCTGCCATCATCTGTGTTTGGAAGTCGGAGTGAGTGGAGCCTAGAGGCTTTCACACCTGGCTCAACACATCTCATTCTGGTGGCCACATGATGACGGTGAAAATGTGAAGGACTATAACCTACCCCTAAAATTATAATAACATGTTTTTATATGTATGGTTATGGTTAATACTTTTTTGTCTCACTAGGGAACTTTTTCTTCTGCATTTGAGTCATCTTTCAATGCCATTAGGACAATCTGTCAGGAGCAGTGTTGCACCCTGGGAGCTACTTCCAGATGTCGATGCTCTGCTTGGTCTGGAGGATTTTACCTAATGTTAGTAGTAGAGGAAACATACACTGGGAGAACATGGAAAATCCACTGAGAACAGGCTCAGGATTCGAACCCAGAACCTCAAAACTACATAGAGTGTCTTTAACAACTGCTAAAGATAATTACTGTTTGAACTGTATTTGAAAATGACTCACATGCAGGTTTCTTTACAACATTACACTAGGACACACATATGCACATAAATTAAAGATAGGAAGAAGAAGAAGAACTCCCCCCTCTCTTGACTCTAACTTGGGCTATAATATCACAGACCAAAGTTAATCTGAGCCGTGAATGTGGGAATCAAATTAGCAACAAGGCGACATATGCTTCCCTATAGCTTATCATGAACATTTGCGGCCATTCCTTGCATGTGTGCCACAGCTGTTTAGTTTGAAGGAAGTATTTTGAGCTGGGAGCAGCAGGTGCACTGGCTGCTCCTTCACTCTTCACCATTTCAACATGTCTGCTTCAACAGAGGCCGAATATACAAGGCTGAGCATGGACTAGATGCACTTAAGACTCCCATCGTGTCTTGGTATAAAGAAAAGGTAGCGGATGTGTGCAGGGAAGAAGAGTGGACATAAATAGAGTGTTTGGTAAGACTCCCACTTGTCTGTGTGTGACTAATGTGTCTCGTCTGGGGCCAAAGGCTGTGATGCAGTCCGCAAATATTTTGTTTCCGGTGGACAATAAAGATTTCTATTTTTATGCACCTGGTCATAATTAGAGTTCAGACGGGGAAAAACTGTTTCCTACTAAATAAAATGTATCCAGATATTTGAATGAATAGATCATCAGACGATGCAAAAGTCTGGAGCACTCTTCAATCATTTTCTATATTGATTCATTATATAGTTTCTATATAAACTATTTAAGTCTGATTTAAGTTGCTAAATATTGTATATATTGATCATTTATAAACAAATATTTGAGGTTGTATAAAAATCTGAATTGCTTATTGTGTGGACAAACATTGGAAGTTTCTCTGGTGTGGTTCTGAGGCCCCATGTTGGGAAGCACTGCACTACATTATTACACTATAAATGTTGTAGTTTAATAATAACATAAATTTTATTTGACTTTCATTTAACCAAATTAAATAATTATTTTCAAAGAGTTTTAAAGTACAACAATTTTATAAAATAAACAGGAGAACAAATGAATCAATGTGCGAGATGTTTCACTTGTGCCAAAATCCCTGTACAATGCCATATGTGTATCTCTTAAATAAATCTTGAGCTTTACAACAGGTTTCTCTTAATTTGATCTAATTTTTATGAAAATTAATAATAAAGTAATTGAATGAATTTGAGTGTGCTGCCTAAAGGTCACATGTCACGGTCCTGTCCCCACCTGAGTTTGAGCTTCTGCAGGTCGTCGGCCATGTTGTCTCTCTCCACCTCCACCCTGGCTCTCTGATTGCCCAGGGCTTCGATCTGCCTCCTCAGCTCCCTCATCTCCTCCTCGTACATGTCGGCTACGCGGCCAGGCCCCTCTCGGACCCTCAGCTTCTCCACCTCAGCTGTGAGGGCGGCGTTCTGCTGCTCCAGGAAGCGCACCTTCTCAATGTAGCTGGCGAAGCGGTCGTTGAGGTGCTGCAGCTCGTGCTTCTCGTTGGTCCTGGTGTTGAGGAAGTCCTGGTTCATGGCGTCGGCCAGGTTGAAGTCCAGCTTCTCCCCAGAGTAGGTCCTCAGGGCGCTGGAGGAGCCGATGCCAGCACCACCGCCGGACATTCTGGGGAAGCAGAGTGAACTTGGATGCAATGTTTATCTTAATCTCCGTGACCCAAGCTTGGCAAATGTGTACAGACCCAAATGCTTCAAATGAAAATGTGCTTTATGAATGTGACATGTGTTTAATAGATTTTATTTTAATAATACATCTGACACAAACAATCTAAATGTTCCTATCAAGACCTCGTCTTATTTCCAGTTACCCAATATGGATTTTAAATTGTGTGTTAAAATTGAGATGTGAACACACCCTGTTTGTATTATGACAGTTATTATGGATAAGATACAGTACCTGTAGCTGGAGAATGACGGTGATCCGGAGGTCTTGACCTCGTAGACCCTGCTGGCCATGTGGCTGCTGTTGCGGCCTCCTCCCCCCATGGAGGAGAACATGGTGGACATGGGAGAGGAGCCCACGCCGGAGCCAAAGGTCCTGCGGTAGGATGAGGCGCTCTGGGCGGAGGACGAGTACGACTTGCTCATGGTTACGGAGGTGGGTGTGCGAGGTCTGCTGGAGGTTCGGCTGGAGGTGCTGAGACCTGAGTGTGAGAGGGGTAGTGATAGACAGACCCTCAGAGGACAGTTATTTGTAGACAGGCCACACCCACCACAGCCCAGAGGGGTGGTCCGGCTCCAACAGTGGGGGCAAGAGGGGCCACGACTCTGGATTGGTTAGACGGTTACTTGTCACCATCCAGTTTGTCCGATTACTGTAAGGCCTGCTTAATGGACATACTCACTGTTTGTTGTGGGAAAGACTTATATTTGTGACATGTACGGCTACATCTCACTTACCTAAGAACGTGTAAGCCATAAAATGTGTACTTTTTACTTTCATGTTTGCTCAGGCACTTGAAAGTATGAGCTTTGGAGTACACGTATGCATAAATTGAACACATTTTAGCGCCAATTTAAATGGATTGTGAGATTATGGTGTGATATTTAAAAGTAGTTTATCAAGGATTAAAGCAGGATATTACAATTACAGCCTTTCATAAATTGTCTTTATAACTAAAAGGCCTGAGCTGAGACACATTATTAATAAGAATAACAGAATAAAAAAAACAATATTTAGTGTTATTAATGTGTTTGCTTTAGGTGGCTTTTCTGACCCAGCCACCGAGTCTGGCTCCCTGTGTGGTAATGTAGCCCCTGACCCCATATTATCACCCCAGACATGCAGGACACTCCACTCCACTGAGGGATGCAATCTTAGAAGCATCATGGACACCAATGACAAACAATCATGTTGAAACCTCTTGTCTAAACACAGCAGGAGGGGGAAAGTTTAAGCAGAGTTTGAGGCAATCCAAGCTCACTCTCCGAGAGGGTTTTCTTTTAGTTTTTATGGAAGAATTGTGTGAACATTGTGTGATATAGATAGGGAAATGTGTCTTTTCTGAAAGGGTCTACATGACCATGCATTCATTAAACTTTGCATTCATTAAAAACTACAATGAATGCAAAGTTTTCAACTAAATACTTTTCAACTAGTATTTACAACTGAATACTTTTCAACTAGTATTTACAACTAAATACTTTTCAACTAGTATTTACAACTAAATACCACAGTCAGAGAGAATTTCGAGGCAAACTGTTGATTAGTAGCAGTTCAACATCATGACAGGTTCCATGTCACTCCAGCTCCACATCATCATAGTAACTTCCAGAAAACTTCCAGTTGGCGTTATAAAGTGACTTTTAAAGGTCTGTTATACATCATGATGTGGGGGTAAGTTGCTAAACATGCTAATTATGTATAATTCTGTAAAAATCATGAGATAAATAAGCTAAAACTTTGCTTTTTCTCCTCTGGGTTTGTGTCTTTATTTTGGCCATAGCAACAGTTGCTAAGGAGCTTTTGCTGGTTCTTGAACATAAATCAGGTTTTAGAGAGTGTAGAGGACATTATAGTTATGTGTTCTATATGTTGTGTGCATTTTGTGTTATTTTACTTGGTTTTATTTTGACTAATTTACCGTTGTTTTAGTTTGACTTCCTGTTCCCCTTGATTGTGTTGATTGTCGACCTTGCCCTGATGTATCTTACCTCTGTCTGTCTATTTGTACCTTGTGCTCCTCTTCCCTTGTTAATGATCCATTGTGTTATCCCTGTCATTGTCTGTGTTCCTGGTTTGTAGTTCCTGTGTCTAGTTTACATTTTGAATTTGTTTTCGCCTGGATTCGTATTTTATCATCATTAAATCATCATTTTGGGCATTCTTGCATTTTGGGTCCTTCATTCACTTCACCTCATGACAGTTGTATGATTTAAACACACTTTGCACACTCGACTTGTATAAACCATAGAACCAAGGCTCTTCTTTGCGTAATCGTTACATAATATACATCTTCAGCACAAGCACCATACCACCAAACAAATGATTTGTGGAGCATGAAAACACTTTAGCAGGTTACAAATGTGTATACCCGTTGATGTAGCTGGGCCCACACGCCCTGCCCCCTGGTTGGGTCGTCTCTCACTGCTGTGGCCTGTTACATCAGCTGTCCAGGGCTCTGTTTTCACATGCGGCAGAAGAGGGTGGTTCTGAAGAGCGGAATGAATGAATGAGTCAAAAGAGCTGGAATCTCCACAATAAACTATGGCTCATGTGTTATCAGCAGGGCTCTCCATTTACCTGTGAATCTGTCATCAGTGCTTTGAGTGATGATACAAGCGTTCAGATGAGTTTACTCCTATAGAGATGAGATAAAAGCTCTACATGCCTCCATGAAGAGAACACACGTTAGCAGCGTACAGTAGATGGTTGGCTCGGGCGGTGTGTGAAACAATGTGAAAGTTGCTTATTATAGCACTATACACTCTGACCTTTAGGATTGGGCTCAAGTATTTCTGTCCCTGCCTTTTGCGCTTGTTTTGACTAAAAATAAAATATGAAATAAACTTTATACACTATTTTTTGCTGAAGAAATGTTGATAACTTCTTTAGAGGGTTAACTATCCTTAGGTGGCTACAGCAGACCTTTGTGTCACTGTCTTCTCTGCATATCTGCACAACAATGATGTGTTGTATGACAGGGGAAGAGGCACTGACACATGCTAATTGTTTTATTCTCAAAGCTGCTGTTGGAGAATTGACAACTTTGTAAAGTCGACCGCTGTTGTGAATTAGGTTTGTACAATATACTGCAGATGTAACTGAATTGAGGTCCTTGCTATGTTGTTTTTTGTTTTAAATCAGGCATATCAAACTCAGGCTTGTGGGCCAAATCTGGCCCGGAAGGCAATTTTTAGTGCCCCCTAAAATGATTTTTTATTAATATTATTAACTTGCAGCATTGATGGCAATGAGCGACCAAGGCATGTGTTACATAATCTATTTTTTCAAGATAACCACCAAATTCTATTTATTCAAAAAAATTTACCCAACACATCATGTTAGAAGTTAGTTAAATATAAAATGAGTTTAACATTATATTTGGTCCAGTTTTGGTTAAATCTAAACAATAAACACATTTTGTTTTCAGATAAATAAACCAGAAAAGAAAAGTGAAACTCATGTCACATTAAATCCAGTAAATCACATTAATGTAAAAAACAATTTTAAGAAAAGAAAATTCCTTCTATTCTTTCGGCCCCTGACTAGTTCCTATTGTTTTATTCGGCCCCTGACCAAGATGAGTTTGACAGCCCTGTTTTAAATGATAATAATTTAAAGATTTGCTGTAATTCTTTTTAAAGTTGCTCCTTGCAGATGCTGAGGGGTCTAAGGACCTTGATGATCCCGGATAAGTGACGTTTTGGACATTGGTCATCTCACTATGGACCAATGGTTTGTTATTATTGAATTTCCTCACAGAAATCAAATCAGAGTATCAAATATGTTTGATTCTTTGATCTGCTGTCGGGGAATAGACAATTTTGCATTTTTCTGATACAATTGATTTGTCATTTTGGGCTTTGCAGACATAAATTGAATGGAATAACAAAGTCAAACTGACTCAGTCTTCCAGTACACATAAATTACATTGAATATTCGTCCATTATATTCACGATACACAGAGAATGTTGTCATAGGGACACTTCCGTCTGAAAACTAATCTCTGTGGCTCCTTTGATCAGATGTCTAAATGATCTGGAGCTGGTGCAGACTGGTACAAGCTGCTTTGTTTGGGGGTTTCCCAGATGACACTTGTCGTCACCATGAGAAGTTAGGCGCTCACTTAGCATTAGCATGTGTCTGCTTTAGCATCCACTCAGCTGTTGTGAGGTCAAAGATATTTCAGGAGTGATAGTCATGTGATTGTGCATAATTATGGAGGCTGATCTTCATTGAGATTTCCCATGCAATTGTAACACTCTATTGAGAATGCCCCTTCATTGTTTTGACTTGTACACAAATCATTGAAGTAGATTTTTTCAAGATTACGTGGAGATGATTTTATTGACCTTGTCCTAATGTCTGTTAGAGCAATTTCTCGTCATCTTGGATAGAATACAATAGAATGCATGTTATTGTCTCCTGAGGGAGATTTATATTGGAAAATTTCCACAAAGCCAAAAAAAGAAACATTTTTGCAAAGATACAAAATTATAATACATTTACATACATTTTACAGGAGCCTTGATCTTTCAGTGTGGGCTTCAGGCAAAGTGGGGTTAGGTATCTTGCCCAATGACACAACAACAGCAGACATCAGTGGGAGTTAGTGGAGAAGGTCTCATGGTGGGCTCGAACCCACAACCTTCAGGCTCAAAGGCCAATGTTCTACCAACTGAGCTACTGTTGCCTCATTTTTTTTTTTTTTTTTATAAGCTTTAACTCATTTAGTGATAAAAAAATGTAAAAGCAACATATAACCTGACATGTAACCCTATAAGGAACAGCATTAGACACAAATACTAATACACAGATAAACAGTAATAATATTATACAATATATTTGTAATTGTTGTTGTTTTTGTTGACTTAGTTGTGTTACTGACCAGGCAGCCAAAGGGAATGTATGTGTCTTCCCACTCCCTTTCAGGTCTCAGTAGCGGTGAAGAGGAAAATGCCTTTGTATTTATGTCAAACAACTGAATCCCCTATGAACCTGGAATAATAAATTAATAAAAAAAATAAGTAAAATGAAATGATATACACTAAATAATCAATTGATGATATTAAGTGTGTTAAAGAAATGTCTCATGAACTAAAAGAGCTGTGTGACACGCCCACGAGGTTGTGAGGTGAGGTGATATTTTGATACGCACACACACTTCCAGTCAGTGGGTGTCTGATGCGCAGGTTGCTACACGACTGCAGACAACACTAATATCTGACCCTGCAGATAAAAAAAAAACAGGCTTATTTTAGCCTCCACACTGAGCATGACTGGGAAAATAGTTTGTGCTCACGTTAACAGTCTGAAAATACAGCTACAGATATGGGTTATTTTAAGGCCCTTGTAGGTAAGGGTTCAGGAGGAGCGCCCCCTGCAGGAGTATGGGGAGGAGTGCATGGTTACTCACTCAGAGGCAATGCATGTTACAAATCCCAAAAGGGGGCGTCCTGTGTCAAGGTTAGCAGCACTAGAGGAAACACACGGCTGCAACATACCATTTGTTTCATAAATAAACCTCTATTTCACAATGTTACATGTTGCAGTCTTGCTTCTTCTTACTGATTATAGACTGCTGCCTTATTATGTTAAAGCTATAGATTTTAGAGTTTAGTATAGAGCTGTGTTCATTTATCTTATCCTATCCTGTGTTAATTTACCTTGTGCTGTGCTCTTCATTCCTACTGTTCTGTAACTGGTAATGCAACACTGAATTTCCCCTGATGTGCGACAAATGAGGGATCTCTTCATCTTAACCGTAAAACTGCAAATCAAAATCAGGGACACATTAGAATATCGCCCTCTAGTGGAGGCCAGACCCATTTCTGTGCATTTACAATTATGTTTGGAATAAACACACTTTTGAAACATTCTATATTTGAATAACACAGTCAAAGCTAAATGAAAAAACAAGCATTTTCTAAACAATAATATTCACAAAAGAGAATGGAATGAGAGGAAACATGGATCCTGTGTTTTCTTTGTGTTTACGGGAAGTGTGTTTATAGCTCATCTCTTGAATCTGTTTATTTTATTTATGTATTTATTTGAAATGGGCCAGTGCACAGTAATCAACATTATACAATGTTAACGTGCCCGAGTTAGCCAAATTAAGCTCATTTTCATCGGTAGTTCAGTGGGCAGATGTTGAGGCCAGCCTGAAAAGAAAAAGCAAATTATGAACACACTTCACTTTACAGATACAATACAGTACATTAACATTGAAGGAAAACAAAAACAATACATTTCGTACAGTTAGTGGTCACAAGTCTGTGTCTCCACAAGCCACTTTTTGGCCTTCTTTTTGAACAATTCTGTACCTATTTTGTTTCGCATTTTCCAATATGGAATAAAGCAATCATTTGTTTGAGTCTATCAATTAATCATTGAGTAAAACAAGTATTATGCTATTCAATTTCAGTTGGGACATTATTTTTTGTTATCTTTTTCTGAACAAAATTAGTTCAGAAAAATCTGTTTTTCTTATATGGAACCAAAATTCAGAGAAAGTAGGACACTCAAGAGCAGTCTGTATCACAAATACAACTGCAGCAGTAAGTATAAGTATAATATGCATTAGGTAAATATCAACCACCTGCATAAACCTGGATGTTGAAAAGTGCAAATTCATGAACATGTTTCTGATTCAAAATAAAACCAGCCCATACTCACTTTCAGTCACTCAGTGTAGGGCCCGCACTTGGGAGGGCATCTCAGTTTCACTCGGGATGTTCCAGAGTTATGGTGTGTACTCATGTTTGGCCCATCACCTAGCAACCTGTTTGGGGGGGGGTTAAAAGAGACAAGCAAAAAATCCTCGTCATAATACACATAGGTGTGGCCATTAATTCCATTTAATGCTAAAATGATGGCAGATTTTATTTACTACAACATACAAGATTTTTTTCTATTCCATTTATTTTATTTTTTAATTTCTTTTCAGATTCAGATTCAGATTCATTTATTTGCCATTTGCAGTAAAACCACATTGGAAAAACTTTTTGACATTAACTAACAGATCTTCAACAACAAGAGTATTCAAACTTTTCAGGGGGAGACTCTTAAGATTCAGATTCAGACAACTTTATTTATCCCACAGTAAATTCATTGAGCAGCACATAACATAAAAAAACACAGGTAAAAAGTGATATGACATGAAGTGGAGTCCCATACAAACATATGAACGTATAATACAGCTCAACCATGAAAGTCCACATCCAGCTACAGAGAGTTCAGCAGTCTAATAGCAGTTGGGACAAAAGATTTTACATGATAATTGGTTTTACAATGTGGAGCAACATAACGTCGTCCTGATGGAAGCAAAGTGAACTCATCATTCAGAACATGATCAGTGGACATTATGATGCGAGCCTTTCTCACGACCTGCTGGTTACAGAGAGCTGACAGTTCCCTCTGTCCAACTCCTATGAGTTTCGAACAGATGTGCACAATTCTATCAAGACTATTTTTGTCTTTGCGCAAAATATTAGGGAGCCATCAGATAAAGGAGAAGAAATGCTCTCAATGAAGGCCTGATAAAACCGACAGAATAGTGAAGCTGACATCAAAGGAGTTTAACTCATGCATAA